CACACACACAAACACACTCATTCAGACCTCCCACAGGCTTAAGAGTCACAACTAATTCAGCATTTGATTTGCTAATGAAACAAACGTCAGCGCCATCAGCTCTCTGACATGTGATTTTGTGTCTGCAGAGGGAAAGTATCAAACATTCTGCAGGTTATTTGTGTTAATACAATCTCTAAGAGCTTCCTGCTCCTCAGTGTGACAGTGGAAGAGGTTTGCACGCTCACAGATACTCTTTACATAATAAGGTGTTTTGAAAAAGGAGGATGAAATTCAATTGAGGGATTATCATCTTTCTATTTTCTGGTCTAATCCGCCCCGTTCCTCTCTGAGAGCTCTCTGAGCATCTGACAAAGAGGAATTTAGCAGAATGGGTCTGAATGGTTTATTGATGTTGAGGGTGCAGACACACAGGAATGAGTCAGTGTGGATAAACCGAACGTCAGCAAACTGTCTGTCAGTTCAGGTTTAAACTTTTCTGAACACACTCTGTCTGTTGTTAAGATGCTTGTCGCCTGGAGCTTCTTCTCCAGCTCCTTGACATTACAACCACCAGCACTAATGAACACAAATAAACTGGAGTCTCTGGTTGCCGTGGTGTCACTGCAGTCGCCGTTAGAAACATCTTGACAACCCCTTCCAGGACGAGTTTCCCTCAGTGAGAAATGTAGGCTGCCGTCAGAGGCTCGTGGGTGGAGAGACCAAGTGTTTTAGTCCATTAGAGTAAATGACGGTGGTGTGAAGACATTCAAAAACGAATGGAGACAGAGAAGAAAGAAGAAACTAATCAGAAGAGGTTTCAACCCCCTTTGTACTTGAATTTTCTTGTCACTCTATATAACATATTTCCAACCAATTATTCCACCCATATAAATATAGCTCAACTTACTCCATCGAGCACCTAAAAATATGTAGATGAACATATAAATATCTTCTTATTGTGTGTCCCAACATTCCTTAATCACTAGAAATTAGCAACAACATTGATTCATCATTACCATTCAAATTTTACACCTATAAATTTCACAATTAATTACTTGGTAATATAATAAATAATTTTAATATAAGAGGTATGATATTAGAATGATGTGTATAATCATTATATGTTATTAGAGGAGTATTGAATGATGTAAATTATAACACATTTAGTACACACCACATATTAAGTATTTAAATTGCTTTACTACTTCATGAATTATATTAAATAGTAAATTGTAACATATATATGTACATGAAATTATTAGTCTTTAAATAAAAATGTACATCCGATGGGTCTTTAAAGCTTAATTTATATATATTCTAAAAATTCTACAAATTAGATTCGGTATGAATATAATATTCTCAATTGATAAAGTTAACATTCTAAGTATTTTAGATTAATATACAAATTGTTCAGATACTCAACTATATAAACATAACCACAAAGAGAATATAATACTAATTGATAAAATTTAAGAGATTGATACAAACAGAATATTTTTTAGATCCAATATAAATTTTTTTATTTTAAAAATATGGTCAGAAGAAAAACAATATATAGATGCCACTATTAAAAGCATATAGAATAAAATTAACTAGTATAGAATAATTTAGTAGTATCCGATTCAATTTCTGGCTTATTAAATTAAAAATTTTAGTTGCAAGACAACATGTCAACACTTCCAATTATCTGTAAAATAAATCATCATAAAACCCTGTATCGCACATCTTCCAGTGATCATCAACATACCATCGTTCTGGTTGAACGCAAGGAAGCTCCGGTTTTGTTTGGTGTGGTGAAACACAATAAGAGGCGATTTCGGACATGGCTGAGCCTAACTGCAAACATGGTTACATTGAGATGGTAACAACTAACAATACACAATCATATCTGCAACAAAACAGCCAAGAACAAACCGTCCACAAATCAGACAAAACACATCTTCACTGATAAAACCCATGAGAAACGATCACGAGAGCAAAAAAAAACAGTAGTTATTTTCTAGTATTTAAAATAAAGAATTACGTACAGCTAGATATCAGGAAGTATAAACTTTCTACATCACAAATCAGAACTGCTATTCCATTAAATCTCATTTTTGGTTACATTAAAATATATTAGACATATGAATTAGAATACCCATATATTACATAGGTTGCGACAGAAGATAGAGTCGAGCGTAAAGATCATAGATTATATACCTTACTAAGTATATCTTTGTTGTATTGAATGTGGACCTGTGAAGAATAGATTGAAGACCTATATCAAAAAAACAATAAAAATATTATAGAAAACTAAGCAGAGAGCAACCATCACAATGCAATAAATGAGACACACAAAAACAGACAATGTCAAGAACCGCAATATTGCACACATATATATCACAACAAATATATAAACCCTGATATATAAGATGGCCAAAAAAAAAGGGCTAGCATAACACACAGAAAAATATACCAAAACTAATTAGAAATACATAAATAATATCTTGGATAGGCATAAATAGTAGACCATACAAACCGGAAACCGACCGAAAACACAACACAACAATAACATACAAGGTTGCAGTATACTCTGCAGTGAAGTTAATTTTTAGGCTGCAGGATAAATATATATGAACACCTGATTACTTTTTAATCTTATAAGATTACATCATGGATCAAAAGAACAATTTATTATGTGATAACTTTAGTAATGATGGGTCATAATTGTAGGCATTAATTAACAGTTGGATTTGGATAAATGAAAGATTATTTTTACACACACTAGTGATTAGAATAAACATGATACTTTTTAATATAGATTGTTTAATTTATGCTTTGGATATACAAAAGGTGAAGGAAAGATATATTATTGAGATGTAATTCTTCACAACACATAAGACACCAATACATAGAGTAAAATTAACTGATCAATACAATAAAATACAATACAGATTAGACCCAAACAAAATTGACCATCTCCACATAACCACAATATGAATCTTCCATTACACCATTAATAGAGACACACACACTTTAATACTTAATAATAAACACACATTATATGATACCCATAACATAGACAGACCCACCTGCAATACACGATCTACTCCCAACAGTTGTAGATAAGTCAATACTCAGATAGAAGTATGTGTTCAAGAGGTGATCATGATCAAGCATACATTCATTATATCTGACCAGACAGTACATTAAAAAATGGATATGGAGAAAATGTAGCAGGTGTTTGTGAATTGGCTCGCTCTGTTCCATTTGTATCTTAGAATTTAGATAATGGCCTTTAAATACTCAGATTATAAAAAAAAATATACAGTTGTAGGTCGTCGAAGCGTACGTACTGCTCTACATGTTCTCCGCCCTTCCTGCTTTTTTCTGTCTCGCCAGTCATTATATCCTTCAAGACTGTATACTGACTTCATCACCTCACCATAGAATATAACCGGCGAAATACAAAGCTATTCACGCCTTAAGGTGTTTCGTTGTCACTTTCCCCTTTCAAAAAAGGCCTCAGTCTCTCATTGTGTATTGAGACAGCTACACATAATAAAGAGCAGGTACAAGATTACCCAATTATCGTAACCGTAATCAATCAACAATTTTAACAACAGAGAACGCACATATTGTTAGACAGAGAAATTAGAAATTATAAATTATATTCATAGTTAATATTATTTTTCATTAGTGAATAATACCCTGAAAATAAGAACCGTTTTGTGTATTTGTTACCTTAAATGAGCTGTTTTTATCACACGCGGGCGCTTAGGTGGAGTTAACCGTTCATGCTTAATACCTACAGTAATAGCCCAGAAGGGTACAAAAACCAAAACGTTGGCTGAAAGATGCCACAATAAATTCACGAGCACAACTGGAATTTAAAGTCAATATCATCGTTTTTCTGCCTTAATTTAAATTAATGTTGAATGTAATTCTAGATCCAATCAAATGACAATTCTGCTGGAATTTTTCTGAAGTTCAATATAAACGTCTTGCAGGTACACAGAGGGAAAGGTGTTTGTAACTGTCGATTGTAATTCAACAAAATCCTCAAAAAGCGGTAAACAAAAAACAATAACAATTTAAAGTCAAGAATAGGGATCCCTACCTGTTGTAAAAACCGAGTGATACCCAGAGAATAAACGTATTTGTAGCTGTTTAAAAGAATGGAATAAACTATTCACAGACATCCTTATGTACCTATGACTCTTCATTAGATTATCCTGAGGTCATTTTTTTCAATCTTTTATAAACAACAGTAAATTAATGTTCACAAAAGAAATACTAACGATAAGCAAAATTTCAACGCAAAGCCCATATTAAAATACAACATATTAGAGGACATGACTATTAAAATTCACTGTTAATGTTAACTACCTTTGGTACTTCTTCAATTTATCATAGAATATTGAGTCTAACAAGCAGTCAGACAACATGATTGGGTGTTTTGGTAAATTCATAAAAAAATCCGAGAACCTTGTAGCAAAAAATAATATATACACAAATAATAAAAATATCTATAAAACAAAGGTCAATGTAGTAGTTGATCAAAATAAGAGTTAAAAACTAACAAAAAATAGCTGTACACATATTAAACTGATCAATGACAATCTGCTGTTTAAATTGTAGTATATGTTTACTCTTGTTCTACATACTCAACCAATGTGTTACTGAATATACGAAGATTCGTCTCTCTACTTTTAATGTTTTTGAGTGATCAGCTAGCTTTATCCAAATACATGGGATAAATAGATCCAGCCCATACATAAAAACACTGATTTTCAGGATTACAGACTCGATATCACAGACTCTTTTTATTATATTAAATTGCTCCCCTCATCTACCATCATCACTCAACACACACATAATTAATTTATTACACAGCCATTTACTTAATTTCTATAATAAAAAAAACAAAAAAAACCCAAAATAATGTAAGGACGATGACCAGGTTTACTGAAAA